TGGGTTCCGAGGGTTCCTTAGTTGCTCAAATCTCTTGCAACGCCTGGAATTCCCTTGTTAAACGCTGTCGTTTTATCAATTCCTGATCCATTTCTGGATCCGGAGCTCCGATCTCGAAGGTTTGATCTCTCACCGCCACCATGGCTGCCGCCAATGCTCCGATCACTATGAAAGAAGTTCTCACGGTACCCCCAATTTTCGTTTTCACTGTCAATTTCTCATGACTTATTGACTATTCAACTCAATTTCCCCGATTCAATACATTTTCAACTCATTACAGCTCTTTTAAATTATTACAACGATTAAATCTTCGTATTTAGATGGTAATCGTGGCTTCATAATCGCTTGATTTGACACATCGATAGTAGTTCTACTTGCTTGAATTGTTTGAATGACAGATTGTATCTCTATTGTACAGTTAAAATTTTAGATCTGCGACTTAATTTGAATGTTGGAATTTTGATTTCGAATTTGAATTTGGTATGTTTTGATGTGGTGATGCAGTTGCCTAGCATAGGGATCAATTCACAGTTTATTACTTTCACAAATGTGACTATGGAATCTGATAAGTATATATGCGTGCGCGAGACATCACCTCAGAATAGTGTGGTGATTATCGACATGAACATGCCCTCACAGCCATTGAGGCGGCCTATTACTGCAGATTCTGCACTTATGAATCCTAATACCAGAATTTTGGCTCTGAAAGGTATGCGATTTTACTAATAAAAAGAAAAAAAATAACTATCTTGTCATTCCTTGTGCAATTTGATTATTTGAATAAGAGGTATATTATGTCTTGTGTTTCCAGTTAATTGAGGATGAGTGAACTGCAATTATAGTTGGTCTTAATTGAGAGTGATTAGTTGTGGTTTACAGCAAGAAGTATCTTTTTTGGCAATTTTGATTTTATATACAAACTTGTAATCTAGTAAATTAAGAAAGGTAAGAGATGTGGATTAGAAGGATGATATTGCAGTTAAAGCTGTTATTAAGTTGGGAATAACCAGGATATTAGTGATTATCCTTGTGAGTAGGGATATTGCCCTTTTTATGGGAGCTATCTTTTAATGAGTGAAAAACAGATGAAGATGATAATTCATTATTATTTATCTCAAATTGCTGCAGTATCATTATTCAGAGGACATAATTCTTTTATCCTTCATTGGTGTTAAATAAGGATATCAGCCAAAGAAGTATAGTTTCTTTGTTGGAGTAATGTTTGAAAACTTCTTTTGATCATACTTGATTGACATGATACTTGGTAAGGCAGGATGCTTCAACAGTCTGCTGGTACACTTTCATATGTATACATAATATTTGTTTCAAGCATTTGAATTATAACAGAATTGAAGTATATAATAATTGTTTTGGTTTGACTCCCTTGATCTGGTTTACTGACAATATCGTCAAAGCTATGCTAATATTATTGAAATTATTTCATAATGTTTTGGTTTCTTTGTCTCTTTCGGTTGGTTGAAGCTCAACTTCCTGGAACTACTCAAGATCACTTGCAAATATTCAACATTGAGGCAAAAGCAAAAATGAAGTCTCATCAGATGCCTGAGCAAGTAAGATCTTTATTACCAGTCATGTGTGCATTGCTTTCTTTGAATTCTTAGCAGTGTTTATTATTTGCCATATTCTGTATTGAAGTTACTGTTTTTTGATGTTCGCATTTCTGTCCATCATGCTTCTTAACAGGTTGTTTTTTGGAAGTGGATTACTCCAAAGATGTTGGGTTTGGTTACACAATCATCTGTATATCACTGGTCTATTGAAGGTAAAATGGCTTCATCCAACATTCCTTTAAAAAATAAAAAAAATAAAAATTGCCGTACTGTCCTAGTTTTCTTGTTTCCTTTGATGAGAATTCTATATGTTTCCTCTTTCTCTATGTACGTCCATATAGGTGATTCTGAACCTGTGAAGATGTTTGATAGAACTGCTAACTTGGCAAGCAACCAAATCATCAATTACAGATGTGACCCTTCTGAGAAATGGCTGGTTTTGATTGGGATCGCTCCTGGTTCACCCGAAGTGTGTAATTGCTTTTTGTTTTTGGTTCATCATTTGGAAAGTTTTAAGATTGCTACTGTTAGAAATATGATTTGAATCTATATGTTGTATAACAAATTATTTGACATTTCTTAACTGCATTAGTTGAGTATTTTGTCCTTCGGTCTTCTTATGCTCAATTACATTTTTTGTTGCCCTCCAGTCTTCTTCCTGTACTTTTTACTTCTCATCCTATCCCTTTTGTTCTGATTCGTCATGGTATTTACCATGTATCAGTATAATCTTTTTCACATTTGCAGTTCATTTTGAATGCTGATTTGCATCCTTTTGCTATAAACATGAATCAATTGGCATTTCTGTTTATGATAATTTTTTTGATGTAGAAACATGAATTATTTCATGCTTCTATGAGTTCATGACCTAAAACATCAGATTTGCCATGTAGCAATGGGAATCATTCTGTAACTTGTGTTTTCTCAATCATACAGAACAATTTAGCACAAATTCCTTATTGCACTCAAAGTTTGGTGGCTATGCTATTTTACATATTTCACCTAATTTAATAGGTCTCCATGTACTTAATGTAATTTCAAACGGAGCCATGTGCTTTCCTTGATCATAATCATTTCACTGTTTTACTTACATCAGATGCTGTGTCATGTTGAGATGGTCATGTGCCTGTCATTAGATGACATTAGGCGTTGTTGGAACATATGCTACCATTCTTGTGATTTACCTAAGAATTCTGATGCACAGATAATGGAATTCAAGCAGCATTGTGACTGCTTCTTCCCAAATACCATACAGCATCTTTTAACTGTGGATTTAAAAGGCAATTTACATTTTTAGGCTAATGGTAAATTGCCTGAAGAAAGAATAGTCCATGTTTTGATATGTTTTGGAATGGACATTTTTGAGAAACTGTACATTCCAAATGTTACATTAGACAATACCATTCTTATTGTGAAATGATAATTTCTTTAATAGTCCCACACCTTTGATCATCACCATACGCCACAACAGTGTGGATACCTACTTGAAAAGGAAGAACAATGTCATGGCTAGGTCACAAAAGTCTCCTCTTGAGTGTTTCCACTCGTCTCATATTCTACACTTACTTTACATATGATTTACTGGGACGAATTTCTTAAATTATGAAGTCATTGTCGAAGTTGACAAAGTTTCTTTTTTTATCTAAAAGAATATAATATGAATTTTTGAAGCGTGTTTCGAACTAGTTATTCTTTTTATCAGGTTTGGGTGTGGCTTTAGAACTGTTTTTGAGAGATCACGCTGTTGCATTAGGCACAACTATTAGGAACTTTTCATTCTGTTTTTTCACTTTACAACCATTTCAATGAACTAATATTCATCTTCTGTTCATGTTACTAGAGGCCTCAATTAGTGAAAGGAAATATGCAGCTGTTTTCTGTGGATCAGCAACGGAGTCAAGCTCTTGAAGCTCATGCTGCATCATTTGCTTCTTTAAGAGTAAGATATGTTATTTTGATATATTGTTATTGCATTTGGATTTTCAGTTAGCTAATTTCTATTTTATGTATTTGTTTGTGTTGGCAGGTTCCAGGAAATGATAAGGATTCCATTCTTATTTCTTTTGCGAGCAAATCCTCTAACGCTGGACAGATTACATCGAAGTTGCACGTTATTGAGCTTGGTGCCCAGCCAGGTGTACTTCACTTTTGCCTGTTTTGACTATGTTTTGGTTTATTTTCGGAACAATTTTACTATTTACGTTGGCTTGGATATCATTACACGAGTGTTATTTGTACATGCAGAAAGTATCAATAAATTGCTTATGGTGGTGCATAATGCTGGCTAACTTTTGCAGGGAAACCATCTTTTACGAAGAAACAAGCAGATTTATTCTTTCCTCCAGATTTTGCTGATGATTTTCCAGTGGCCATGCAGGTATTTCTTGTTTTTCCTTTTTCTTTTTTGCATCTGCCTTCGTGTATCTATCTGGTAACTAATTTGCATTTTGGTTTCCCATAACATGCTTATTTTGCATTTTATGCAGATATCACATAAGTATAATTTGATATATGTAATTACAAAACTGGGGCTTCTCTTCGTATATGATTTGGAATCTGCCACAGCAGTCTACCGAAATAGGATAAGTCCAGATCCAATTTTTCTGACATCAGAAGCTTCATCAGTAGGAGGTTTCTATGCTATTAATAGACGTGGCCAGGTTTTACTTGCTACAGTAAATGAAACAACACTAGTGCCCTTTGTCAGTGGCCAAGTAAGATTATCAGTTTCACATTTCATATTATATATATCCATTAAACACTTCTACCCTTGTAAAAATTTGAGTGTTTCGGTTATCTGTCAGTTAAACAATCTGGAGCTTGCTGTAAATCTTGCGAAAAGAGGGAATTTGCCTGGTGCAGAGAATTTGGTAAGATGAATCTCAGATCTTAATGCACTTTCCCTTTCTGTATCTTTTCTTGGTTGGAAGCAGGCCGGCAATATATTAACTCTATAGCTGCTTGTTCGACAAAGATTATGTGCGTGTTGTTTAATAATGATTAGGCTGGGGTTATCTTTTGATAAGAGGTTAATCATCAAAGTTGTTATTAGAACACACTCACTGATCATCCACAGCAGAAATTTCTTGGAATAATACTTTGGTTTGGGTGTTATGTACCTTAGAATCAACCCTACTAGCCAAAATAGTCTTATTCCTTTGAAACTCTCCTTACCAATTTGATAATGGTTGCATGTGCTATACAACTCAATAATTAGGCCATGGCTTTAATTTTACTTTGTTATATTGCATTCACTCCCTTGTTTATGATTTGATGAACAAGTGAAATGAATAGTTTCTCTAATCGTATTGCCCTGTGATTTGCTTATCACCTACTTAATATTACAGAAAACTGTCTAACGAAACTTTACTCTCATTTTTGTTTCTTGCTTGATATTTAAGTTACCGTCGCATATACTTTATTGATTTATGTATTAGACTTGGTGACCAAGCACTCACCATTTTTGTCATCTTAAACTCTCTCAGGTTGTACAACGCTTCCAAGAATTGTTTGCTCAAACAAAGTATAAAGAGGCTGCTGAGCTTGCTGCGGAATCTCCACAAGGCATCCTTCGGACACCAGATACAGTAGCCAAATTTCAGGTACTTCTTGTCCTTTGGCATTCCCCTCTGATCATGTATGGTTGAAAGGACATACAGCTTCTGACCTTGATGGAAGCTAACGATCCGCGCTGAAATGTACTTGCAGGAAGTAATATGATTTAGCACATTTTACTTCTGTGAGGGGGAAGAGGAGAGTTTTCTAAAACAAGTGTTATTTTTGCAGAGTGTTCCTGTTCAAGCTGGACAAACCCCACCATTGCTACAGTACTTCGGAACCCTACTGACGAAAGGAAAGCTCAATGCTTTTGAGTCTTTGGAGTTATCTCGCCTTGTCGTGAACCAGAACAAAAAGAATCTTTTGGAGAACTGGTTGGCTGAGGATAAGCTGGAATGTAGTGAAGAACTTGGGGACCTTGTGAAGGTTATTTCCAAGTTAATTTGAAGTATTTATTATCTTAGATCTTGTGCAATGTCAAATTTTTGTGCTGTTTTCTCCCTTTTGATGCGGTAATAAGCCCTTCCATTTATATAGACCGTGGACAATGATCTTGCACTGAAAATATATATTAAAGCAAGAGCTACTCCGAAAGTTGTTGCAGCCTTTGCTGAGCGCAGGGAGTTTGATAAAATCTTGATATACTCCAAGCAGGTTAGTTACAATTTCATTGCAAAATTTTTACCTTTTCACTTCAAGATAATTAATGTTTCAATCAGTCACCATTCATAGGAGAATGCTACTGTAATTGATCTTCACACTTGCATAATGTTTTGTGAACAATTGAATTTATGTCGATTCAGGTTGGGTATACACCTGATTATCTGTTTCTTCTGCAAACTATTCTCCGATCAGATCCTCAGGTATGCTTGGAACTGCATAAAATAATGTTTGTCAATATAATATCCTGCATTATGCTGCATGAATAATTTTCCTTTTCAAATTATGCCCATTGTTTTAGATTAGGACTTTATATCTGGAAAATAGTAAATAATTGAACTTGTCTTTGTAGGGAGCTGTCAATTTTGCTCTCATGATGTCCCAAATGGAAGGAGGTTGTCCTGTTGATTATAATACCATTACTGATCTCTTTCTTCAGGTTTGATTTGTTTTCTTGTGGTTTGTTTGAAATTCTGCATGGCCTACAGTGCTAACTCTTTAATTGACCTCGTGTTGCTCTCTTATACATGGCTGTAAGCCCAAGTTATATGTCAGAAGTTTGTGCTTACACACCAGTTATGTTTAATATCTTTCTTTTCCAATCATTTTTTTCATCAGAGGAACTTGATCCGCGAAGCAACAGCATTTTTGTTGGATGTTCTGAAACCCAATTTGCCAGATCATGCGTTCCTCCAAACTAAGGTTCACTTTGTCTAGTTTTACACTTTCTAATTAACCTCATACATAGATCTGGTTGAGATTCATTGTCATGACTTGCATTTATATTCAGGTTCTGGAAATCAACCTTGTAACCTTTCCTAATGTGGCTGATGCTATTTTAGCAAACGGAATGTTCAGTCATTATGATCGGCCACGTATTGCCCAGCTTTGTGAAAAAGCTGGTCTTTACATGCGAGCTCTTCAGGTTAAATTTTAACCTTGTGTATGTTATTATTGTATTCTCAAATTTAACATATGCATATGTTAGATATATTAGTTATCTATGTGATTAAACAATGTACCATACTTGCAGCACTACACTGAACTGTCAGATATCAAACGTATCATTGTGAATACTCATGCAATTGAGCCACAGGTTAAGATACTCTACTTGTTGTGTAATGTTGTCCCTTCATAATCATTTGTTGCATTGCTGCTGAATAATGTAGCCAATTTCAGGCTCTTGTGGAATTTTTCGGGACACTTTCACGGGAATGGGCGTTAGAGTGCATGAAGGATCTTTTACTGGTCAACTTAAGAGGCAACCTTCAAATAATTGTCCAGGTAACGATTACTGTGTTGTAAATGTAATGTGACGTCACCTGTCTAAGCTTTGATGAGTGTGTTGTGTCATTGTAGAAGTGTTCAGAATTCTTCTTTGAAATAAACTAGGAAATATAGAACTTCAGATATGTCAATACACTCCTTGGGAGTGATTTCTTTTCCCTCTTACATTGCCAATATTAACTAGCTGTTTTTGTAGGTTGCAAAAGAATATTGTGAACAGTTGGGTGTTGACGCATGTATTAAGATCTTTGAGCAGTTCAAGTCGTATGAGGGGTTATATTTCTTTTTGGGATCATATTTGAGCTCCAGGTAATTAATAAAAGAAGAAATTACTTCCTATAGCTGCAGAATGACCAGTTTTGCACATTAAATACTTGCTCATTTGAGCATTAATTATTGGTATATTGCAGTGAGGACCCTGACATCCACTTCAAGTACATTGAGGCAGCTGCTAAGACTGGACAAATCAAGGAGGTAGAGCGCGTGACAAGAGAATCAAATTTCTATGACCCTGAAAAGACGAAGAACTTTTTAATGGATGCCAAACTTCCAGACGCTCGACCACTGATCAATGTTTGCGATCGCTTTGGCTTTGTTCCAGACCTCACCCACTACTTGTATTCTAGCAATATGCTCCGTTATATTGAAG